TGAAGGAATCAGGCTAGTTCCCTAAGTCTAGGACACTATTTTACTTTCCTTGGGCAATTTCAACACACAAAAAAAGGGCCTATCTTTGAATCAATTACACAAAATATACCTTTCCTACTGCAGGGAAAAAACTGAGGCATGTATTCTTATCATCTTCTTGAGAGCAGCACATATTACTTTTAGAACCTCTTTGCACTGACAGAGGTACACTGATGTACATCTGATAGTATGAGTTAAGACTGAAAAACTGGACCTACCTATGCCCATTAACCTTACATTTAATATTTTTTTAAAACCCAGTAAACATTTACATACTTTCTTACTTTCAGATCTCTTGGCTGGAGTGCTAATAAAAAAAGAAAAACCTAAGGACAATTACAAAGCGTAACCTAAGGCACCAAACCACCTTGATGAGAACTGGCAAGTTCTTAGAGTGAATAAATGAACAAAGGGACAGTTATAAGCAATACCAGAAGAGGATCTCAGGTACAATTTAGCACATCACTTTAACTAGATTGTACCCAATGCTACAAAGAAACAGTATTGTTAGCAAAATTCTAATTTACTTATTCATCAAATACTTCAGAGTAGTAATAAGAGGTGTTTTTTTCTTTGCTTTAATAAATTCAAAGTGCTGAAACTGTTTCATATTTAAGTTACCCCACTACGATTATCTTCAAAGAGTGCTAAAAAAATTATCTCTAATGGTGATCATTTTATAGAGTATTAAAACACGTATCATTTTAGGAAGGAGTTTCATTTCTCACTTTTTAGGATGAGCCATTCAGTGTACTTAAAAGACAAGTAGAATCAGTTAGTAATAGTCTTGGTTTCATACCTTTAAGTGAGCAGGAAATAGAAAATAGAGAATAAATAACAATTATTGATACTTTTACTATCACCACAGTCAAGAATTACAATTGTGTTTATTTACTTGACTCTCAACTGATGAAGTGATGACAGTGGGGGTGGGGGGGTAGAAAAGCCTTGAATTATAATATAAACATATTTTATGGTATTGAAATTTCTGTGCCTATATCCATTATTATATTTAGAAAACAGGGAGTTTCAAACTTAATAGAAAAATATCTAGTGCTTTTATTTAATTTTTCCAAAGAGAAATCTCCTAAATTAAAGAAAAGAAGTCTGATTTTCTACATTATTAACACATTTTTCTGATGATTATAAATGGAAAAATTTGTCAAATTATTAGGAGTTTGGTGAAAATAACTCTTACTTTATTTGTAAATATTGAAAGAGTATCTTTAAATTTAAAAAATAGGGACAAGTATTCTACACATTCAATAGTTATTCTGTAATAATTCAGCTGCAAAAATATTGTCTACCTAATTTCCTTACAGCTATTTCAAACTATGTAATAGTCAAATATGGTGGACTTCCTTTAGGGTTTATAATCTGACATACACAGAATGGAGTACTTATAAATTACCACTATGAAACTCATTTTCAAGTCATCTTAACATCGTCTTCCTTGTCAATAAAGTGTTCATGTTTAAATTGTCATTGTGTTGATTAAATAATAATAAGCCACTAGTATAATACAACAATATAAAAATGGAGTTTCTACAGGCAGTTTTGGAACTAACCCCTTATTTTCCCTAACACACCGTAAATTGTTCAGAGATTTTGATAGCAAGGAAATTACAGTATGCTTTCACAGAATTTAAATACCCCAAACTCTATTTCCTTTAAAATGTATTATCAAAAATGTAGCCCTGCTTTTATAACATAATGAAACAATGAAAATAACTTGCTATCTTATCTTGTACATTTCCTATACTATGCAATTACATTTATATTAACAAGTATGATAAGGCTTATGTGTTGTGCTAGATATTTAACCATGTATTTAAATGTATAACCTTACAAACAAAAGTAAGTTACCTACAAAGCACAATTCCTCAGGGCCAGCTCTTTTCAAATTCTCTTTGCACTAACTCCCACTGCTTTTTTGCCTGTCAGTCTAATAAAAACAGGTAATTGTACATAATCATTTTTCACTTCCTATTTCTCTCTGGCTTAGTTCTAGATGCTCATGTGATATCACTACCACTGAACAGTCGGATCAACATATTAAGAATGAATAAATGGTCAATTATCAGGGGTTACCTTTATTGTCTGCCTGCTATAGGCAGTTCTCAATTTTTTAAATACTATGGGCAAATTGTTCTATTACAATTTTATTGGAGCACAGAATCCATTCTTCTAAAGAAGGTATATTATCCTACGTAGTTTGTTTCACAAGCCAGATTTCAAATCCTACATAGTCCATAAAGGACTTTTGTTTTTTTTAAAAAAAACAAAATACAAAACAAAACAAAAAAACTTTATCCAGTGCCATTTGTGCAAATAAGATTTTACCTTAATTTTTTAATAACTACCCTTTAAAAACTAAAAATAAAAGCATTTTGATGGAAATCTTTCAAAAGTATTATATATGTCCTCTTGTTTATTAAAAATATCTTGATCAGTATCAACATTAACAAAAAACTTACAATAATCTGCTATCAATAAAAATATGCTAATACCTATTCTGTTTGAAATTAGAGATTTTACAGCAATTTGTACCCACAGTCTTATAGACTGGATTTTTTTTTAAGTTTTTCCATTATTTCCTTAATCGCTCTTATCACCTTTGGATGATTTCACTGTGCCTACACTGATCAGACCTCAGTCTAGAAAATTTCCTGCTCTACTTTAAGGTAGACTAGCATACAAGCTACAAAACTGGACAGAGGACTGTTTTCAGTGGGGGAAAAGAGGCAAGAGCAGAGGGTGTAAGCTTTGAATAGAAGGATAAAGGGTTTTCCCAGTAAACAAAATACAAAATCAACATTGTATAACTCTGTGAAACTTGTGTTCCTTCAGAGAGTCTCTATGTTCCAAATAACTGGGATTGCTGGATATTACTTTCAATCATAACAAACACAATTTTAATACCTTACATATAAGAAAACTCTAATTAAGATGCCAAGAGTACCAAAATTTACGAAAAAAAAAAAAAAAAAGATGCCAAGAATTAGGTGCTCTGTGTTAAGGCAGAGGAAAGTCCATACCCATTGTCAGCAGTTTTTTGTATTCTATTTACTTGTAGAAACACAACTGTCCAGTTAAGAGATATCATTCATATATTTTATAGTTTATAACACACTTTCCAACACATCATTTTTAAAACACAAAATTAACCAAAATTGGTATATTACCCAAATAACTTTCTATCTTCCTTCCTTCCTTCACCCCCCTTCCTCCCTTCCTTCCTATTATCTATATATGAGGAAAAAAAGAGAGAATGAGCGCTATATGTTTTAACTTTCTTAATCTGTTGTTTTTATTTTGTTTGTTTTTCTAAAACTGAAGATCAATAGAAGACAAGCCACAGATTGAGGAAATATTTGCAAAAGACATATCTGATAAAGGATTGTTATCCAAAATATATTTTAAAAAACTCTTAAAGGGAATTCCCTGGCAGTCCAGTGGTTGGGATTACGTGCTTCCACTGCAGGGGGCACAGGTTCAATCCCCGGTCAGGGAACTGGGATCCTGCAAGCCACGCAGCATGGCCAAAAAAATAAAAATAAAAAACTCTTAAAGCTAAACAATAAGAAAACAACCCAATTACAAAAAGGGGCAAAAGACCAGAACAGACACCTCACCAATAAAGATACACAAATGGCAAGTAAGTATATTAAGAGGTGTTCAACATGATATGTCATTGGGGAATTGTAAATTAAAACAATGAGATATCACTATACACCTATTAGACTACCCAAAATGTAAAACACTGACAATACTAAATGCTGGTGAGGTGTGGAGCAACAGTAACTCTCATTCATTGCCAGTGGGAATGCAAAATGGTACAGTCACTTTGGAAGACAGTTTGGCAGTTTCCTACAAAACTAAACACACTCTTACCATATGATCCAACAAATCATGCTCCTTGGTATTTGCCCAAATGAACTGAAAACTTGTGTTCACACAAAAACCTGAACAGATGTTCACAGCAGCTTTATTCATAATTGCCAAAATTTGGAAGCAATCAAGAAATCCTTCAGTAGGTGGTGAATGGATAAACTGGGGTACATCCAGACTATGGAATATTATTTAACACTAAAAAGAAATGAGCTATTAAGCCATGAAAAGACATGTAGGAAACTTAAGTGCATATTACTAAGTGAAAGAAATCAATCTGAAAAGGTTACATTCTGTAGGATTACAACTGTATGACATTCCGGAAGAGGCAAAACGGTAAGAAAATAAAAAGATCAGCGGTTGCCAGGGGTTAGATGGAGGGAGGAATGAGTAGGTGGAACACAAAGGAGTTTTAGGTCAGTGAAACTATTCTGTATGATATTACAATGGTGAATAAGTGTCATTATAAATCTGTCAAAACCCACAGAATGTACAACAACAAGAGTAAACGCTAATGCAAACTGAGAACTTCGGGGGATAATGATGTGTCAATGTGAGTTCATCTACTATAACGAATGTACCACCATGGTAGGGGATGTCAGGATGTCAATGGTTAGGGAAGTCTTGCACGTGTGGAGATGGAGTATGATAATTCTGTGTACATTCTGCTCATTTTTGCTGAAAAAATTAAGTTTACTAATTTAAAAAAATTAAGGAACAATTATTGCCAAAGACCCAGACATTTAAACATTCTTGATATTATAAAATATTTCAAAATTTTGAAGGCTTAAAAAACAAGATTACATTTCAATTACTTTTATTCTATGATGTATAAAAAAAACTGTAATACATATTCCTTCTGATATGTCAATCTATATAAAAATGATATAGAGATTTAAATGTTGTTGAAATATTATAAAGTAGAAGGCAACATTAGTAGGTAAAACCCTAACTCACTTTAATGAATAGGCTGAGATATGCACTGTATCTATCCAGTCTGGAGTTATGATAATACTTTTACGCATTTGGATGTAGTAACTAAAATGGGATAATAACACGTAAACATTTACCTTTGAGTCATAATTTTGAAGGCATCTGGGAGGTAGCAGTCTGTATTCTCCATCTGAAATGGGTCAGCATCACAAATCTTGTCGTCTGTCCGACCATAGTTAGCGCTCTCAATCATGATGACATCACTGCCGGGACATCGTAGATCTATAGAATAACCTTCACAGGATAATTCTCTACGAACTAACCCAAATGGTAAAGCTGCTCTGCTGAAACCTTAAAAAAGAAAAAAAAAAAAATTAACTCATTTATGAAGTATATTATTTTAATAAGGCATTTTCAAGTAATATGAGTCATGTCTATATCCAAGAGATGTCATACGAAGTACGTTTTTCAAGCCATCATTCATATATTTATTCAATAATTCTCTGGATCTTTACTATGAATCACTAATGTATTATTAAATTTTTAATATATATCTTTAGCTGGATTATTCATCTTTATAAGACAATTTTAAATTACTTTAATAAAATATTTTCTGTATAACCTAGTCACAATCAGAAACTAAATGGCCCTTTTTGAGTAAACCCAAAGAAAAATGACGCATTTGATCAATGGATTTATAAAGAGTGACAAGATATACAAATACAGAATGCAACAATTAAAAAAAGAACGGTTTTCATTTATGAATGAAATCAAAGCTCTGCTACACAGGACACTGGCCTTACCCATTTAATGTAGACATATTAATTGCTGTTAATGGAATTATCTTAAAAATACATTTGTCTTAGCGTCTCCCAAAATAACTAAGACACTATGACAGTATCATACTTATGGCACAATAACTTATTTCAATTTGTAGACTCTTTACTGAAAACTGACATAAATGAAAGGATTCAGCAGATGGGCATTCAAAGGAGCCAGCACTGCTCCAATCCAGTCCAAAAAGCTGAAACCCCCAAAAGGGGCAAAATTTCTGAGATTCAGTTTTGTCATTTACAAAATGCAGATGAAACATCTATGATGTTATTATTTTTTCCTACCTGTGTGACTCTAAAATGAGATAATGTACAGAAAAGCACTTAATAGAAAGTGCCATATGAACTTAAGTATGGTGTATTAGGCGGAATGTAGATAACCAATGTTCATGAGTGCTATAAAAAAAGATTCCAAATAGAATAAGAAATTAGAATTTTAGGTTTTAATCATGGTTCTCAACCAGGGGTCCTCTAAAGTAGTAACAGAGCATAGAACAAAGGTAAAAGCAGAGAAAGCCGAGAACAGCCAACAACAACTATGTGTGGGAGAAGCACATCTCTGTGTGCTGGTGTGCTACCTATGGGTTACCTACCATATCAAAAACTTCTACACTGACCCAATTTTTTATTTCAGTTCTCTAACTTGTTGCCATCTATAGCGTTTCTTTTATAAAAGACTAGCATTAATTTCTGTATTTTTTCTTATCTCTATCCTTTTAATTACTCTGCATCACATGAGTTATCCCTTATATCCCTTTTTACTGGAAAAAAAAAAAATGACATTCAGAAGTAAACTGTTCCAAGACATAAGCTTCTAAGTTGAAGAGCTAGGTTCTGTTCAGGTCAATCCAATGCTAAAACCTGTTCTCTTTAACTATTGCACAATGTCTCTCACTAATACAATAAAATAAACAGTCTCCTGGATAAACATGCATCTTCTTTCTAAAATGCAAACAATCCTGCGAAAGGATTAGTTAGTGGGTTGTACCTTGGTATGATTTAGAAAATCAGCAATTCTCAAACTTGGCTGAGTTCTCAGTTCTACTGAGAAAACTAAAAATGTAATTGGGATGGAGAGAGAAGAAAAAGACACAGCTTAGAGCACAGAAATCTTCAGGGGATTGAGGCAAACGCCAACCTTGGTAGGTTTTCACTAAGAAGATTTATGGTCTTACGAGATTACAAAAAGAGAAGCGCACTATCAATGAAGAAGGAATACAGAAAAAAAAAAAAAAAGAAGGAATACAGAAACGGAGCTGGGCAATATCATGAAAAACAGTAAAGGGGCCAACCTTTCAACCTTTTCCCAAGTTCATAAATAAACTTTTACATATGTTATTGCTTTCTTCCATTTGCTGATACTGTACTGCTTATACAAATAATTCAGCTTAAACTAGTATTATATTTGTTTTAAATGAAAATATGTTTTAGGGTTTCAGAAGCAGACACATTTCTGTGGCAAAAAGCTGTGTGAAAATTCAAACAAGTGACATCATATAAAATTTTGGAGCACTGCATATTTTAAAGCCAGAGATGATTTGCAATTATAATACCTTGTAAATCATATTATTAGAGAATATTACAAATATGAGAAAATGTTATTATAAGACTGACTTGGAGCCAAAATTCACAAGTTGTAGTATTTGTCAAAAATATAGAATTGATTCTGAAGCACTGTGGTTTTTAACTTGAGCTCCTAAATTTTTGTTGTTGATAGTTTGCAGGATTATAGTTATGGTTCTAAATGAATTTTCCTCTGCTTTCGAAAGATATTTGAGAAGTTGCAGAAGTCTTGCTGTTTTGATAATTCAGAGAAAGGATTTTTAAAGCCTTAATATTAGTCATCCAAAAAGGTAAAGTATGGAAAAAGAAAAGGAAAAAAATAGAAAGATCAGCACACTTTACTAATGTAGTAGATTTCCAATACAGAATTTTCTGAAGAACAGATCATGGTACTTATACTTTCATTACATAGAACTGAATGAGTTCTTAATGGTGAATGTTGCTTTATTTAATTCTATAATATTATTGCCTTAAATCATGTGTTCTCTTTACTAAATTCTTGCTCTCTCACCTGTTTCCACTGAACTTTATACTTATGTATAAAATTTAAAAATCGCTTGTTATTACCACATGGTGCTGTGGATATTCATTTTTAATATGTATCTCCCCTGCTAGACTCTGATGATAGTTAGTTATAATTCTAATGCCTAGATTGGTACATGATACAGAATTCCAATAACTGCTATCAAACCAAATTGCCAAGTTGAACAACTAGTATCTGTTTAAAACAATATAAATTACAATGCGTTTTCCTCTGTAATATCTATTGCCTTTGGCAGTGAAAACAAAGAGTGAGCATTAAGAAACAGATAAATAATCAATAAAATTGTTATATCCTCAAAAAAAGAAAAAAATGTTTAAATTTTGTCAATTAATTATTTTCTAGGTACCACTGGAGTTCATTAGTGTTTCTCACAAAGACAGACGTTTATGAACCTTCCTTTATTTAAATCCTGTGTTTCCAACTGGATATGGATATATATATATATATCTCCATATAAAACAAATATGAAAAAAAAATAAAAAGTAAATATTGTAGTAGCTAACATTTACATAGCAATTACAATGTTTAGATACTGTCCAAACTGCTTTTTATGGATCACCCTTTTTATGATCACCAGCATCATCAACAACTATCAACACAACAAAAAACAATGGAGTAGTTAACTGTAACAATACCCATTTACAGAGCATGAAACTAAGGCATTAAATAGTAAGTAATTCAGGGTCTCAAGGATTACTGTGAGTTAGATTCTAACGCATGCAGGGTTCTCAGATTCCAGAGCCCATGCTTTTAGTAATGGCCATGAACAGAAAGGGATTCTGTGACTTCTCAAGCCATCATGTTGATAATACAAACAAGATTAACTTTATAATTTTTCATACCATCTGAAATTCACCAAAAAATGTTAGTGAATTTGACAGGAAACAATTATTTTAAAGGTTCACACAACATATAGATAATGATGAAAATTGTATTTGTGGAAATGTAGCGATGTGTGCCATAAACTTATTGAGAGCAAAATCTATACTGTGCAAGTATGGACATACAGAGAGAGTACTGAACAGTACAGATGTCTGGGTCAGCCTTGTGAACTTGGCTAAGTCATTTTATTTTTCTGGGTTTTAATTTCTTTTTCTGAAGGATTAAAGTCATTTCAAAGTCCTATCAAATTTCACCAATCTATGATTCTAAACAGGCAAGCTCCTTTTAATCAGGTATACATGCTATTCTAACATTTTCAAGTGGTCAACAATTAAGACATTTGTTGCTCTATTTCTTTAAAATATAAACATATGAGAATGTTAGCATGGATGGACTATGGCACAATAATGTAGATTGTATGGTACTGCCAAGAAAATTCTCAAAAGTACATGGATGAATTAGTCAGGATTCTTTCTGGATTAACTATTTTAACCAAAGACTTACTGGAAGGGAGAAAATAAACACGGGCCAATTATTAAATCAAAAGAAAAACCCACATAAACTTTTTTTTTTGGTTCCTAAGTTTTATTCAAGAACTCATACAAAATATTACAGATAATTGAGTTTTAATCCTCATCTTCCTCCTCTTCTTCATCTTGATTAATCTAGAAGTAACGCAATTCGTAACTCTTTGCTGTTAGTAACTACGCCTAACCAGTCACATAAATTATTCTTCTTCAAATATTTTTTTGGTGATATATTTCAAATACCTTTTGGAAAAAGGCACCTCAGAAGTTACAGTAATCTTGCTTTGCTTTTTTCAACTGTTACAATACCTCCACCAAGATTCCCAGCTTTTCCATTCACTTTGATTCTCTCCTGAAAAAACTGCTCAAGATTGGCGGCATCCATGATTCCATCTTCTACAGGATGGGTACAGTCAAGAGTAAACTTCAGGACCTGCTTCTTTTTTTTTTGCCCCCCTTCGCCACAAGCTTTATCACAGACGCCATGGTAGCAGCGGATGGCAGAAAGCATAAATTTTTCAGAAAAATGTAAATTCTTATGCTTTCTTTGGGAACTTCTCCCCTATTTTCCTGAAAACTTCAAGGGGTATGGCTTCAAACTCTTCCATCAACAATGGGACTTCAAAGAAGTTTGGAAAGTCTTAAATAAAACTATTGCAATTAATATTAATTTTTAAAATTCAACATTTTCACTAAGTAAATCTTATGAAAAGTCAGAACAAAACTTATTCCTAAAAACACTTATTTACACTTTTATTTATATCACATTAATGACTTACTATACTGAGTCACAGGAAGAAATCATCACAGGTATCAGTACCATTTCTTAATTGCACTTTCTTCCTTTGTACACGAATTCATCCTTAATTGTTTAATGGCACATTTTTCAGGACTTTTTTCTTTTTTTGCGGTACGCGGGCCTCTCACTGCTGTGGCCTCTTCCGTTGCGGAGCACAGGCTCCGGACACACAGGCTCAGTGGCCATGGCTCACGGGCCCAGCC